GGTTTTAAGTCGCATGTCTCTAGTAATTAGTGATTTGGATATTTTTATATACACATTGGACATTTGTTTTGAGAAACATCTATTCTTAAATGGGGTTGCTTTCTTAATTTGGTCCTTATATACTCTGGATATTATCTCCTTATCAAAGTATGCCTTGCAAATATTTTTTTCCCCAGTCTATAAGCTTTTTTTCCCCACTGTGATCTTTTGCTATGCAGAAGCTTTGTAGCTAGATGTAATCCTATCTGTCTAATTTTGTTTTGGTTGCTTTGAGTTTTGGGGGGTCAGATCCAAAATATCATTACCTAAAGCCATGTCATATCATTTTATCTGTTTTCTTCCAGTACTTTTACAGTTTCAAATCTTATGATTAGGTCTTCAATTATTCTACTATGAGTTGACTTGTGCAGATGGTAGGAGACAATTATCCAATTTCAGTATACTAGATGTGGATATCTAGTTTTCTTAGCACTCTTTACTGAAGACTGCTCATTCTCCACTATGTGATCTAGATGCACTTGTGGAAAATAAACTAAATGTAGATGTGCAAGTACATGCCTGGGCTTGTTTCTGTTCCAAAGGAATGCCGTCATTTTTTATGCCAGTAGCATGTGCTTCAATTACTACAGCTTGGAATCAGGTAGTGTGATCCCTCCAGCTTTGTTCTTACTCATGATTGTCTTTCCTCTTCAGAAGTTCTTTGTGGTGCTATGACTTTTAGAATTTTTTTCCTGTTTCTGTGAAAATGGCATTGGAGCTTTACTGAGTATAACACTAAATCTAGAGATTGTTTGGGGACAATCTTCAAAGGATATCCTAACTACCAATTCCTCCAAACTATGAATGCTATGTGTCTTTTATTTGTTTATTGTTTAACTTCTTTCTGGTATATTTTATAGTTTTATAAGGTACAAATCTTTCATCTACTTGGCTAACAGGAGGTTTTTAGTGGGTTTCATTTTTTGATGTTTCTGTTTTGCTTGTCTCTGATTTCTTTTTTAGGAAACTCATGTTACTGCATAAAAATACTACTTATTTCTATGCTGATTTTGTGTTCTGCAACTTTCCTGAACTAATTTTTTAGTTCTAACAGTTCTTTGTACAGTCTTTCCTGAACTAATTTTTTAGTTCTAACAGTTCTTTGTACAGTCTTTCTATATATAATATCAGATCATTAGCAAACAGCAACAACTTGACTTCATTTACTATTCTGTGCTTTTTCTTGTTTTTCTCATCGATTATCTAACTAGAACTTCTGGTACTAGATACAGCAAAATTAGGTATCTTTTCTGGTTTCTACAAGTAACTGAATTTTTATCCACACTTACTTAGGCCAAAAATTCATTTTTTGACACATAACTGGAAAACTCAGTTAGGCCAACACATCTACGGACAGTTTTTATTAAGGAATGCAGTGAAGGGCTGTGCACATGGTTAAATGGTAAAGCACTTGTAAGTATGAGGCCCTATCTGAGTTCAATCCTCAGCATTAAAAAAAAAAAAGAGTCAAGCTGGGCGCTCGTGGCTCACACCTATAATCCTAGCTACTCAGGAGGCTGAGATATAAGGATCGCATTCAAACAAAGCCAGCCCGGGCAGGAAAGTCTGTGAAACTCTTATCTCTAATAAACCACCAGGAAACTGGAAGTGGTGCTGTGGTAGAGCACTTGCCTTGAGCTGAAGAGCTAAGGGACAGCATCCAGGCCCAGAGTTCAAGCCCCATAACTGACCAAAAAAAAAAAAAGAAAAGAAAAAAAGTCAGGAAGGGAGAAAGGGAAAGAAAAGAGAAGGGATAAAGGAAAAAAGGAAAAATGAAATTCAGTAAAACTCTCTTGACCAATAGAAAGCTAAAATTACATTAGAAAGCCCCTTAAAAGTGACCATAAAAAAATGCTGATGACTAATGGGTGGCTCATGCCTGTAATCCTAGCTACTCACAAAGCTGAGATCTAGGGATGGAGCTAGCCAAGGCAGAAAAGTCCCCATGAGATACTTACCTCCAATTAACCACTCAAAAATCAGAGGTGGCTCCTGTGGCTCAAGTGCTAGAGCACTAGCCTTGAATACAAAGAGGCTCAGGGATAGTGCCCAGGCTCTGAGTTCAAGCCCCACAATTGACCAAAAAAACAAACAAAAAAAGCTGATGACTCAAGTTGTAATCCTAGTAACTCAGGATGCTGAAATCTGAGGATTGTAGTTCAAAGCCAACTGGAACAGAAAAAGTCATGAGATTCTATCTTCAATTAATCAGCAAAAATATTTAAAAAGTTGGAGGTAGAACTGTGACTTAGTGGTAGACCTCCAGTCTTGAGCAAAAATCTAGAAGAAGAATGCTTCCTGGCCCTGAGTTCAAGTCCCAGTTCTGGCATAAAAAGGGAGAGCTTTTCTAAAACTCAAGTTGACCAAGGTTTTAGATGAATCTTTTTGAGTTCTATTTAAAAAAAAAAAGCTGCCATGTACAATGACTCAAGCCTGGAATTTTATCTACTTGGAAGAAGATCAGTAGATCATACTTTCAGGCCAATCAGGATATAAAACAGTTCACAAGACTCAACTGCAACCAATGGCTGGATACAGTGGAATGTACCTGTTACTCCAACTACAGCAAAGTCACAAGTAGGAGGACAGCAGTTCAGGCCAGCCTGGACATAAAAGCAAAAACTTAACTTAAAAATAACTAAGGTAATCCTAGCCACTCAGGAGGCTGAGATCTGAGGATCACAATTCAAAGCCAGCCCGAGCAGGAAATTCTGTGAGACTCTTATCTCCAATAAACTACTAGAAAACTGTAAGTGCCACTGTGGCTCAAGCGATAGAGTGCTTGCCTTGAGCTGAAGAGCACAGGGACAGCACCCAGGCCCAGAGTTCAAGCCCCACTACCAAAAAAAAAAAAATCTAAGGTAAGCTGGGAGCCGATGGCTTACTTCTGTAATCCTAGCTTGTCAGGAGGGTGTGATCTGAGGATTGCAGTTCAAAGCCAGCCAGAGCAGGAAAGTGTGTCTTCAATTAACGACCAGAAAACTGGAAGTGGCACTATGGCTCAAAGCAGTAGAGTACTAGCTTAAAGCAAAAAAGCTCAGGGACAGCACCCAGGCCCTTAGTTCAAGTCCCACAACCAACAACAACAACAAAAAACAAACAAAAAAATGGAGGCATAAAAGGTCCTAGCAGCATGGCTCAGTTTGATAAGAGCACCTACTTTGCAAGATAAGAGTATCTACCCTGCAATCATGAGGTCCTGAGTCCAATCCTCAATACCAACCCCCCACACACATACTCACACCATTATATGCCTAAGAGAGATATGTTATGAATGTTAAGTTACAGAAGAAAGTGAAAATAGGCTATATGAGTCTCCAATTCTAAAGACATAGAGACAGATTCTGGGAAACACAGGCATTACAGCTGTTTCTCAGATGTGCAATTACCTAAGAAACTGTAAGGTATGCAATTCCATGATTATAATCATGTTAATGGATCACATGACTCAATCAAAAGCTATGCTTTTTTCTACTTACTAGGACATAACAGTAAAAACAAACAACAATCTCCCTATGTGAAACTCAAACATTTACCCTGTGTGTATGTGTGTGTGTGAGAGAGAGAGAGAGAGAAAGAGAGAGAGAGAAAGAAAATGTGTGTGTGTGTGTGTAAATTTCCAGAGGCAGAAAGGGATATAAATGGCCAACCAAATATTATTTATCAGACTCTGCTATGCTACATAATTTGAAGAATAACATAAAAGGTTAAGGAGATAATAGGAGAGTGGTTATTGTTATTTTACATGAGTAGTTAGGGAAAGCCTCATGGTCAACACAACCATATTTGAACAAAATCTCAGAGAGAAGATTCTCAGACTGAACTACGATGGTAACAATTATGATTCAAGTATTTAACAATTATATTCCTAATTAAACTCTCAACCAGACAATCAATAGCTAAGTATAAAAGTATAAGATAAAAAGTATAACAAATATTTACATGAAACTTGTACATACTAAAATCACCATTACTGCATACAGTTCTTATTCTACTATATACAAGTTTCATGTAAATATCTGTTAAACTTTTTATCTGAAACATCCCACAAATGTCCATGTATTAACAGCTTGATTTCCAACTCATGTTGCTTTTGGGAGACAGTAAAACCTTCATGAAATGGAGCCTACTAGGATGCTTGTCCTGAAACTACATATTGGGACCGACTGTTTCCTGTGTTTTACTTCCCAGTTACCATGAAGTGAGTTGTTTTTTCACCACATCTTCCCACCATGATGTGCTGCCCTGACATAGGCCCAACAGAAACGAGACAGCTGAAAGAAAATAAACCTTCATTTTTTTGTTGGTCGTGGGGCTTGAACTCTTGGCTTGGGTGCTGTCTCTCAGCTCTTCAGCTCAAGGCCAGAGCTCTACCACTTGAGCCACAGTGCCACTTCCCGTTTTCTGGTAGTTTACTGGAGATAGAGTCTCATGGACTTTCCTGCCTAGGCTAGTTTTGAACCGTGAGCCTCAGATCTCAGCCTCCTGAGTAGCTAGAATTACTGGCTCCTGGCTTAAATCTTCATTCTTTTTTTTGTCGGCCGTGGGGCTTGAACTCTGGGCCTGGGCACTGTCCCTCAGCTCTTCAGCTCAAGGTGAGCGCTCTACCACTTGAGCTACTGCGCCACTTCTGGTTTTCTGGTGGTTTATTGGAGATAGGAGTCTCACGGTCTCTCCTGCCCGGGCTGGCTTTGAACCTCGATCCTCAAATCTCAGCCTCCTGAGTAGCTAGGATTATAGGCGTGAGCCACCAGCGCCCAGCTAAATCTTCATTCTTATAAACAGATTGAGGTATTTTGTTACAGTGATAGAAGGATATACTTTGACAAAACCCATTATCTTCAATTTAATAAGAATCTATCTATCTATCTGTCTGTCTGTCTGTCTATCTACACACACACACACACACACACACACACACACACACACACACACACACACACACACATTTTCCCCCTTACATCTTTTGAAGAACCTGGGCCATCACAACCCCATTCGTTAAATCTTCCACAGTCTGGCATGGTGTATCCACATTAAATGTCTGGATCTGAAGGGAGAAAAAAAAAGTATTGTTAATTAACGATTTCTTAGGCTTTTGAGTAGTATAATTATCTCATCTTAGAAGTTGGAATACAATTTAAATGAGAAAATAGGAAGGTGTGGCAGTGTACAACTATAATCCCAGTACTCAGGAGACTGAAGCCAGAAGACTGTCAGATCAAGGCCTACTTTGGCTACAGAGCAAAACCCCACTTCAGAACCACCAGCATAACAAATAAATAAAAGTAAATAAAAAGAGCAAATAATTGGCAACATCTCCCTTTATAGGAAATTTCCTGTGGATTATAATTTTCGGTGAGGAAGAAATTGTTGCATAATTCTATTTACATTCTGACAAAATAATAAATAGCACATTGAACTTATCTACCAATGACTGACAAAGATATAAACAGGGCAAGATAATGTGGACCAAAGGAATGTTCTGGGAGAGAAAAGTCAATCTCTTAATGTGAATGTGTTGCCTTAATCTGCTAGCAGTTATCTTATAACTACTAAACAAAGTAATCAGACAAGTGAGGTCAGTATATTGGAAGGCAGATAGGGGGTGATAGAAAGAACTGGATGCTTGAAGTAAAAACTGAACTATTAAAATTTAAAGCATAGCTGGGTACTGGTGGCTCATGAGGCTGAGATCTGAGGATCACAGTTCCCAGCCTGGGCAGGAGTCTGTGAGACTTTAATGTCCAATTAACCACAAAAAGACAAAGTGCGCTGTGGCTCAAGTGGTAGTGAGCTAGCCCTTGAGCAAAAAATACCTCAAGGGCAGGGCCTAAGCCCTGAGTCCAAGCCCCAGGACTGGCATAAACAAATGTGTTCGGCTGGGAAGTTGGCTCAGTGATAGAGTGCTTGCCTTGCATGCATGAGGCCCTGGGTTCAATTCTTCAACACCACATACACAGATAAAAACCAGAAGTGGTGCTGTGGTTCTTGTGGTAAGGCACTAGCCTTGAGCTGAAGGGGTGAGTGAGGGACAGCACCCAGGCCCAGAGTTCAGCCCCCACCACCAAGGGGGCGGGGGGAGAAGAAACAAATGTGTTAAAGCCTCCTTTATGTGAGGTTATTCAGAGCCAAAGAATCTTTATATAGATGTCTACAGGCAGAAGTGATTACCTTAGCAGAAGTCATTATTTAATATGATTAGGTTTGGTATTCAAAATCAATTTTTACTTTAAATAAATACATTCTGAATCAGCACAATTTTTTTTTTTGGTAACAGGATATAACAGAGAAAATTGATGACATCCAGTAGTCTAATCTGAATTCAGGAGGAGAAAAATCATTGAAAATAGACACAGACTACCCTTACCTAGACCTTTCAGTTTAATGAAACAGTACTATGAGAAGTTGAAAAACAAACACAAAGATTAGAGGTAAGAGTATGTAAATACAATCTAGGAATGAAAAAGCAATCCACTATGGAGGGTGGACTGTATAAAGAAAACAACTGGGAGAGAGCAATGAAAGGAGAGACATGGTTCAAAAAGAATTGTACTCATTGCTCATTACCTGATTCATGGAACTGTGTAACCCCTCTGTATATCAACTCTACAATAACAATAAAAAATAAAAAGATATAAAGCAGGGAGAAAAATAAAAGAATGAAAAAATTAAAAAGCATTATCATTCAACTCTCTTAGGATTTTCTCCTAACAATTTTAAGCAGGAAAGTAAGGCCATTTAACTTGAACTACGTAGATACAGATAATATTGGCTGAAGTATGAAGAAAGGACTAGAAGGAAAGAGGCAGGATAATATGTACTAACATAGAAGAGTAAAGTAGATAGTGATGTAAAAATACTGAAAATAACATTCAGAACCAGGCACTGTATTCTTAGCTACTTAGGAGGCTGAGATCTGAGGACTGAGGTCTGCCGAGGATTAACTGTCCCTCAGCTCTTCAGCTCAAGGCTAGTGAGCTTCCACTTGAGCCATAGCACCACTTTCGGCTTTTTTTCTGCTTATGTGGTGCTGAGGAACCGAACCCAGGGCCTTGTGCATGCAAGGCAAGCGCTCTACCACTGAGCCACCTTCCCAGTCCCAGTACAAGACTCTTTATCTCCAATTAACCACTAGAAAGCAAGTAGAGCTATTTCTCAAGTGGTAGAGTCTCAAGTGTGAGTGAAAAAGCTGAGGAAGAAGGCTTGAGTTCAAGCCCCAGTACTAGCACTAAAACAAAACAATGTTCAAGTGAATATCTGACTTTTATTTATAATGAAGAAGAAATGAAAACTCCCGGATCAAATTGTATGCAGTTTAAAGTTCTTGATAAATATTCCCAAACTGCCTTTAAATAAATGCAGCAGGCTAGTATGTACCTCTCTGTACCATACTAGTCATAGCTTCTTCATATTCTTATGGGTAATGATGGTTATGGAGGCAGAGACCAAAAAAAAATCTTATAGATCTTCATAGAAGGTAATTTTTATTAAGATATATATTTGGAAGAGGCGTTGAGGTTCCAATCAATTACACAGAAAATTTCAGTAAAATATTAAGCCAGTGAACTTTGCTTGCATCTCAGCTACTCAGGATGCTGAGGTTAAGACAATTACAAATTTGGAAATAATCATCATCTGTACTGAGTTGGAACTTCACACTAACTGCAGTTGTCTCTTCACTGGTAATATGTTAATCATAATGAAGTAGGGAAGTCAGGTCTGGCTGGCGCCATATTGGCCACATGGTGGATCTTAGGGTCTGGCATCTTGTCTTCATGCTGGGGGAAGGAAACCCCCTGCCCATCACCTGCTTCCTAGGTGATTGGAGTGCTTGGATCCCTGGAGGCAAGAGTGGGCACTTGGCTGATAGGTTACTGAATCTGTCAGTCCAGTCCTCAGGACTTTACTGAATTTATCAGTCCAGTCCTCAGGACTTTACTGAATTTGTCAGTCCAGTCCCCAGGACTGGGAATTTCCTGTGGATCTGCCCCCTGTGCCAACCTATTTAGGCAGGGACCAGACTAGCTGCCATCACGCCATGTCACGTGTGTCTCTGTGATCATGTGCAGTGTCCTTTCTCCTGGCTCTTCTCCAGTCATCATGGTGTCCCAATTCAGCTTCCATTGGAACTGAATTGGGTTGTTAGCATTGTTTTTGTTCTTTCTTTCCACTTCAGCCTGTTTCCTAGCTGTGTTATGTGTATTTGTGTGCTGTAGGCCTTTGTAATGACTGGCTGCCTGCAGCCTGTTAACTGTATGATAAAGACTCAAAATGTGGCTCCTGGCATGATTCACCTTACAACAATGTAAAAAGAAATAAGTACTCTTCATTTGAGAGTTGCCAAAATTGCTAATTTAAAATATGCCTTTCATGTAGGTTTCTAAAGGAAAAAGTGAAACAGCAGTGAAGGCTACATCTCATTTATCTCTTTATCACACTACTTTATACACAATACTTACAACAATAAGTTCAAGGTGAATACTGCTTCAAATATAATGACTTAATTCTAATCCCTAGTTTTCTAATTTGGAATGCAACTTTGTATATTTCATCTCATCTCTATTTTTATTTGTTTTTATTTTTATTTTTGGGTCTGGTTGTGGGGCCTGAACTCTGGGCCTGGGTGCTGTCCCTCTCTTCAGCTCAAGGCTAGCACTCTACTGCTTGAGCCACAGCGCCACTTCCGGCTTTTTTCTTTTTGCTTATGTGGTGCTGAGGAATCAAACCCAGGGCCTCAGGCATGCAAGGCAAGCACTCTACCACTGAGCCACCTTCCCAGCCCTCATCTCTATTTTTAAATTTTTTACAATGATATTCCCAAGACACTATGTTGGAAATGAAGTTTACAACTTGGGAGGACGGAGGGAGGTGGGGGAGGGAAGAGATAGTAGAAAAAAAACAAAGGAGGGGGTAACAATGCTCCATAAGAAATGTACTCATTACCTTACTTATGTAACTGTAACGCCTCTGTACAGCATCTTTACAATAAAACTTTATTATTATTATTATATATTTGTACAAAGGGGTTACAATTCCATAAGTGAAGTTATGAGTACAATGCATCTTGGTCAATGTCACCCTTTTATTTGTTCTTCCCCATTATCTTATCTCTTTTCTTTTTTTTTTAATTGTAAAGATACTGTACAGAGGGGTTACAGTTACATGAGTAAGGTAATGAGTACATTTCTTATCAAGCATTGTTACCCCCTCCTTCGTTTTTCTCCTACCATCCCTTCCCTTCCCCACCCCATCTTATCTCTCTTAACACTAATTTTTCCATGTAAAAGTTGGAAAAAATCTGCTGGGTGCTGGTGACTCACCTGTAATCCTAGCTACTCGGAAGGCTGAGATCTGAGGATCACAGTTCAAAGCCAGCCTGGGCAGGAAAGTCCATGAGATTTTTTTTTGTCTTTTTTTTTTTTTTTAGTACTGGGGATTGAACCCAGGACATTGCACTTGCTAGGCAAGCACTTTGCCACTGAGCTACATCCCAGCCCAGTCCATGAGATTTTTATCTCCAATAAACTACCAGAAAACCAGAAGTGGCACTGTGGCTCATGTGGTAGAGCACTTGCCTTGAGCTGAAGAACTCAGAAACAGCACCTAGGCTCAGAATCCAAGCCCTATGACAGACCAAAAAAAAAGTTGGAAAAATCTATCTTATGGAGGGAGAGGTGTGGGGTGTAAATGAGTGAGAAAATAAGTGCACATTAGGTATTCCAAATGTCTTATGTCCCCAACCCAGGGTATAAAAAATAAAAATCATCTGGAAAGTATTCACTTTGAAAATACGTATTTTTTTTAACTCTATCTACAAAACTAATCTGTGTGTGTAGAAACCTGGAAATCTATTTTTAATAAGTTCATCATTAATTCTTATATAACTGAACACCGGTTTCAATTAGAAACCCTTGGATCTAAATTAAAACAAATATAATTGATGTAAGACTATCCCCCATCAGTACTAAGGTGCTGGGGATAGAACCTACGGCTTTGTACACGCTACAAAAATCACTCTACCACTGAACTATATCCCCACTTGGTATA